TAGGGACAAAATCTGCTTGAAGGCACCCAAAGTTGTCAGAGGGCAGTGGCCAGAGGGGCAGAGCTGCATGGGCACAGGGGGAGCAGGGCCATCCCCAGCACCTGCCTCTCCCAAAATGTCCTAATGGCCCAAACAAGGCCTTGCTGTCCCCAAAATGGAGCTGCTCAGCCCATGGCCTTCCAGAAATCCATGGCACAACCAGGATGTGGCCTTAGGGATAGAGCGCCTTGCCATGAGACATATGCAGAAATAAAGTCCCCACCTTTGGGCAAGCAAACAGCAGCCTGGGACAGTTTTTGGGCCCCCAGGTCCCCTGAGTCCCTGTGAAAGGACCTGAGTGTGCTGGGGACAGCAGTGACCTGAGCTGGGGCTCAGTGCTGACACCAGGAGTGTGTGTTTAGTCAACCGCAGAGCAGGGACACAGTAGGAGCATCTCTATGCACAAAAACACTGCTTTTTGCAGTTTGGTTTTCATGTTTTAGGGAAACAAGGCTCTTTGTCACCAGGGAGGGGACACTCAGCACAGGGTGGTGGCACCTTGCTGCCCACAGGCAGGAGGGGTGTTTGGGAGGTGCATGGGGGTGAGTGTCCCCATGCACAGGCACCTGAATGACCCAAACCCACCAGTTTTCCCCTCACCAGAGCTGCCAGCAGCCATTGCATCGCTCCAGTTGTCACCTGTGTTTTCAAGCAGGCAATGGGCGCCTGCCATCCATGCCATGTACCTTCCATGGTGTCTGCAGTATTTGCTGCCTTTGCTTCCCCAACAAAAGGCACTTTTATGCTTTATTTCACTGAGTTGCACTGGGGCTCCTGAAGGCTCTTTCCATTAAGCCCCAGCCACCTCCTCCATCCTCCCCTATTGCCAAAACCCTTCGTGATGGCAGGAAGGGAATTGTGCTCCCATCCCCTCCAGGGGCTGGGGCTCTGCTTTGGCCCCTCAGGTTACAATGAAACCTCCAGGAGTTGCCTTAGCTCAGGGGCAGATCTTGTTTGCAAACAAGATTTTCCTTTGATTTTACATTGTTATTGTTATTAATTTCATTAAGGTAACAGAGTGTGGCTGAAAATTAAGAGGAAAACTAAAGTGAGTGTCCCTGAGCTTGCCATGTTTCTGAGCCCAGCTGGGGATGAGGGTCCCAGCATTGAGTCCCACTCTCTGCTGGAGACAGCTCCAAGCTTGGGGCCAGTTTGTGCAAAGCCAAATCTGCAAAAACGAGCAGCGGCAGCAGCAGCAGCAGCAGCCCCAGCTCCAGCCCCGCCGCAGAGCCGCCCGTGCCTTCCTGGGCTCAGCTGCCTCCCCGTGGCCACTGCTGCTGGGAAATGCTTTTCCTCTGACGGGTTTCAGTCTTGTCACTCAGTGATTCCTTGTGTGAGGAGACAGAAAACACCCCCAGACCCCTCTCTCCAGCCCATTTGTTTCCCTGCACACCCTCCCTCCTGCTCCCACTCGCTCACCACCTTCCAAGGCAATCATGGTGCTGCGATTGCTCTTCAGGAATATTTTTTTTCTTTTCCCCAGGTGCCTAATCACCCTTATTACCCTTTTCTGATTAATTAATTCTAATTAATTTTGCACTATCATTTTTGAGAAGAGGTGACCAGGACGGCACATGTTGTTGCAGGTGATTTGCAAGGCAGGTCCTGCAGTGCCAGCACAGCCCTTCCCTCAGTGCAGTTTAACCCAGGTCCAGGTAGGCACCTCCTGCCTCTTTTGCTGCCGTTGATGGCAATTAACAGAGCACTGAAACCTCCAAGGGAGGAGGGAAGAGCCCTGAGGGGCTTTCCTGGGAACCACAGGGGATGTTCCCATCTCTTCTGCTCTGCCTCAGCAGCAGGGTTCAACCCTGGCCAAACATGGTTCAAACCATGTCCATGTTTGCCCAGCTCCTTCAGCCAGCTCTGTGTGCCATGGCCAAGGCTTGGGAAGTCAGGATAAATTAGGTCAGGGCTTCTCCATGCTCTGCCAAGAGCCACCAAGGCGCTCAGAAGCACAGCAGAGACTGGATCCCTTTGTCTTCCAGCACTGATGCCAGGCCTTATCCAGGTACCAGCACTGATGCCAGGCCTTATCCAGGTACCAGCAGGGGCTTCACCTGGCTTGCCCAAGGACCTTTGTAGCCAAAAGCTGGCATGGTTTGGGAGATTCTGCCCTTGAACACAGATGCTTTGGGGACAGAGGTCGTTGTTCCTTTAGTGTTTGTTCCAGAAGCAGCTCCTGATCTTCACCTCATCCCAAGTGCCCAGCAAAGAGGGGGGACATGGGCTGGGGTCTGCAGACACACTCTGCCCTTGTCAGAGCTCCCATGTCCCTGTCACCAGCCCCTGGCCACTGTCCCCAAACAGTCTGGAGCTGGTCAGGCACTTCTGCTGGCCAGGAGTCCACCCAACACTGCTCAGGGCAGGGACTGTCCATCCCACCTCGCTCCCTCGGCTGCTGGCTCCTGTCAGGAGGCTGCAGCACCACCACCAACACTGCTGAATCCCCCAGCAGCCCAAAATATAAACACCATATTTATTATATAGTGGTATATATATATAAAACTCCATATTTATTATATATTATATTATATTATATTATATTATATTATATTATATTATATTATATTATATTATATTATATTATATTATATTATATTATA